ACCATTTAGTGCACATTTAACTCGAAATCGGATGAAGATATATATGGGAGCTATATTCAAATCTGAACCGATTTCGATAAAATTTAAAACAGCTATTCCTGTGCTCCATCTAATACCTGGTACCAAATATCACGGTTGTGGAGTGAATATTACGAATGTATGGGACTAAAACACTAAATCGGATGAAACATATATATGGTTGCTATATCTATATCTGGACCGATTTTCACTAAATTTGATATACTTGCTTTTAGGCTGAATTTGGTCCGATGTACTAAAATTCAGTCCATTTGCACTTATATCGGCCATTTGGTGCCCAATTAACCCGAAGTCGGATGAAGATATATATGGGAGCTATATCCAAATCTGAACCGATTTCGATAAAATTACAAACAGCTATTTCTGGGCTGTATCTTATAGCTGGTACCAAATATCATTCTTGTGGAGTGCATATTACGAATGTGAGAGGCTTAAACACAAAATCGGATAAAACATATATATGGGAGCTATAGCTGTTTCTGAACCGATTTACTCCAAATTTGTAGTATTTGCTTTAAGGCTAATCTCGGTCACATGTGGCAAAATTCGGGCTATTTGGGCTGATATTGGCCATTTGGTGGTCAATTAACCCGAAATCGACCGATTTCGATAAAATTTAAAACAGCTATTTCTGTGCTCCATCTAATACCTGGTACCAAATATCACGGTTGTGGAGTGCATAGTAGGAGTGTTAGGGACTTAAAGATCAAATCGGATGAAAGATATATATGGGAGCTATAGCTATATCTGAACCGATTTTCTCCAAATTTGATATACTTGCTTCTAGGCCGAACTCGGTTGGGTGTGCCAAAATTCAGGTAATTTGGACTGATAGTGGACATTTGGTGCACATTTAACCCGAAATCGGATGAATATATATATGGGAGCTATATCTAAATTTGATCCGATTCTCACCAATTTCAATAGGGTTCGTCCTTGGGCCAAAAAAATATTGTTTGGAAAATTTCATCTCAATCGGATAATAAATGCGACCTGCATTTTGTTCACAAGAATACATGGACAGACGGACGGACGGACGGACATGCATAAATCGACTCAGAAAGTGATTCTATGAAGGTTCTCAAAAGTAACTATGGGTCTAACTCGATTCCTTCTCCATGTTACAAACAAATGCACAAAGACATAATACCCTTACCACTATGTGGTGTAGGGTATAAAAAGTATATATCGGAGCCGAGTTGCACAAAACGTACGTCCCGAAATGCATTTCATTTTGGTTGATATTACCCATTATTTCCACAATACACCCGTAATCGGTTGAAGATATATATGGAACCTATTTCCAAATTTGAACCGATCTTAATAAAATTTGGCAGAGGTTTTTCTGTATGGGAGCTATAGCTATATTAGTAACTATTTTCTCCAAATTTGATCTACTTGCTTCTAGACTGGATTCGGTGGGATATACCAAAACACAGGTCATTTGGACTTATATTAGCCATTTGGTGCACAATTAACATGAAATCGGTTGAAGATATATGAGAGCTATATCTAAATCTGATCCGATTATCACCAATTTCAATAGGGTTTGTACTTGGGCCAAACAAATGTTGTTTGCAAAATTTCACCTCAATCGGATAATAATGGCGACCTGCATTTTGTTCACAAAAATACATGGACGGACGGATAGACAGATGGACAGTCGTGCATAAATCGACTCAAAAAGTTATTCTATGAAGATCCGCAAAAGTAACTATGGGTCTATTTCGCTTTCTTCTCCGTGTTACAAACAAATGCACAAAGAAAGTATGGTATATCAAAATAAAAAAAATGTCTTAATCCTCTATTATTTATTACTTTACGCTTTTGAAAATCATGAAAACATGGTTCTTAATAGTAATTGTTGTAAAAAAAACAATATTTGAGTTACCAAACCATTTTTTTAAATAAGTACTTATTAAATCTACTTTTAGTGGCTATAAAATGCTGGTCCGCGCGACTTTGTATTGTTAAAAGATGGAGTTGGTAACCCAATTTGTAATTAGTATTATAACTGGGTACCGTTGGATAACTATCTTATCGAATTTCTTTTACATTTTCCGGTCTGATTTTTGTTTTTTTTTTTTCATTGCAACACACATCAACCCCTTTAAGTAGCAAAATATGTACACGACGAACAGTTAGTGTTCCAAACAAATGTGCGGTACACTAATACACCTTAGAGACTAATTACACAGGTGATTATCTATTTTTAATGTGTTTTTTCCATTATAATGACCATTTACACTGAAATGTTTTAGCTTTTGTTCCGATTTAGATGTGGCATACTACACCTATTATATACAGTTACATTTGTATGGAGCCAAAAAAAAACGACATACTTGTTGCCTCAATCCATTGTTAGTCAAAATCCGGTTGGGGTGCACTATGTGTACATGTAGCGGACAATTACAATTGCGTGTAATTATAACAATAAACATGGCGGTCGACATACAACATTTTCCACTGACTGGAGTATGGAATGGAGTAACAGTAAAAAGAGATTCATGGAGTCTAGTGTCGGAAACTAAAAATAACTGTGGGAAGTCAGGAGATGATAGCTGTTGCCGTTACAACTATTGTTAGTTGTTTTCTTTTCTATTCTGCACAATGGAATGGTAAACGGAAATGAGCATTTTGAGCTACTACCTTTTAATGTTTCCTTAATGGCTAGAATATTTTGTAAGCATATTAGCTATCTCACACGCTCTATATTCAGTAAGGACAATTAGGTGCAAAGGATTACAGTTATTTAAGACAATAAGTGAAGGTGTGGTGGATATATATTTATTGCACTTTCGTTATGTCAACAAATTAAAAATTTGAAAATTTTTGGTGATGATCGGACGATAATTGCTATCTGTATATAATAACCCCAACCTGTGTTGTAAGGTGAAAAAAATTTACAAAATGTATACTTCAATGTTATAAGTCTAATTTAAAAAATCGCATGCGATAAAAAAATGTGAAAACAAGTAAGCTAAGGCTATAGTCGTGCGGGCCGACCGTGTGATAACCTACAACACTACAATATGTTAGAAGCCCTTTTCTGTCCATTTTGGAAGATTTCGCTTTTGGAATGATGTCATAGAGCACTGCCCAGATATTACCATTAGTTTTTTGACCAGGGCCATTTGCCCAATATTTACGCAGTCCGTCGTGCTGTTAGTTGCTGTGGTCCATTTTACAGCTAAAAATAATCCAATGGTCATAAAAAATGCTAAACTTCTTCCCTGTCCTTAACTCTTTTCTCATGCAAATTTCTATGTCGATTGGTTTTCAATTGTGTGATCAGGAATTTTTTTTATGATTTTGGTTCATTTGAACCCCTAAATATTTTGCAATCATCTTCAAAAGCAAGAGGCCGCTCTTAATTCCCAAATTTAGACTCATCTATATGATTTGCTTGTCTACGATATTTGGCTATATTCGTCAACGAAATCAGCATAAAAAGCCAGAAGTTTGCCTTTTATGTATTTTGGATTTTGCTTGAAAGGTATTTTTAGCGTTTCGGTAGAATGAAAATGTTGGTCATTTTTTTACACAAAAAAGTAGTGGTATATTCCACCCAATGTCCTAAACTCCAATTTCATGAGAAATTTCGTGTCCTTAGGTTTCTATTCGTGACCTTTTTAACGGCTGAAAAATCAGGAAAATTTTTCAGTTGTTGGTCCATTTCAGCTTCTAAATATATTGCGGATATCTTTGAAAACAATAGGCCTATCCCTTCTGGGTCTTGTGAAAATTTTCGTGAGGATAGGACGATAATTGCAATCTGTATATAAAAAGCCCAACCTGTGTTGTAACGTGAAAAAATATTACAAAATATACACTTCAATATTAAACATCAAATTGAAAAAATCGCATGCGATAAAATATAAGAAAAAATAAAAAAAAAAAAATGTCACATAACACTACAAAATCTATATTAACATCATTACTGGTATCTTTTTATGCGAAGAGGACATTCTGAATTGATAATATTTGTCAAAATCTGTCCAGCCATTCTTGAGCATTCGTGAGCACATCTCCTTCCTTTGTATATACACATTGTATATATTTCGCTATATATATCCGATATATTTACTATCGGCAGCTGCATAACGGTCAGAATTGACCTTTTCGTCTATTTGTGATTTCGCCGAGATTAAAAATGTTCGCGGTTTAATGGAAAATTTGACTTTTATTTAAGAAAAATGTTATGGTCTATTTCACCCACTAAATATTACCCGTTGACCATCTAAATTGGAAAACTTCTGCCCAGCCCTAAGCTCTAGCCCCATGCTAACTTCCGCGTGGATTGGTCTATAATTGCGACCTGTAGAGTAACTGCAGAATCAGTTTCATCAGCAGTTTTTGGTCCATTTCAACCCCTACTATTATGGTATCATCTCCAAAAGCAATAGGCTTCTATTCTGGCTCTAGACCCACCTCCATTATAAATTTCGTGGAGATCGGGCCATAATTACGACCTGTAGAGTTATTACATATTAACATGGACAGACGGAAGGGCGGACATACCCAATACATAGTGTTGTAGGGTATAATAAAGGATGCCACAGATTTGTTTATCAGATATTCTACTCTCACATTCCATAAATATTTTCGGCATCATTTACACGATATTTGAACATTTCGATGCATCAACATCAAAATACTAAGCACATTTTGACAAATGTATATGAACAAAAGTATGATACTATCTGTGAGTACGATTATCACATTTACAAAATGGCAGTGATAAACCATTCGAATTTTCTAAAATGAATTAAGGCTTTAAGGGCACCTAATACTTTCAATACATTGTACTGAAATATTCTGTCCATATGATACTGAAATTGGCCTAATTAAAAATTGAATATTTAACAAGGTAACAAAATGTATCGTAAATGATGTAATAGTATATTTTTTGTAGGCTTTTGGAGCATTATACATACATACACACACCACATATAACTTACCATTTAGTAACAATTCGCTGCTGCTATTGACCAAATTGTCCATTATTGGTTGGAATGTGTAGAAGGTTAATGTTTCCAATTTGTTGCTTTGTACATTGAACGACAATAGAGCTGTTGTGCCACGCAATAGGCCGTTATCGATTTTTTTCAATAGATTGTTACGCAAATTTAAGGTTTTCAAATTATTCAAGCCATCGAGGGCGCGTTCTGAAATACGCTGGAAATGAGAAAAAAAAGTAAGAGGATAAAATTAAAAACTAATTTATGATAGAAATTCACGAAAAATACATTAGATTAGCAAACATATTTCTGGATGGAAATGTAAATTACGCCCAGCCCACCATCGAAGAATTCATTGACGTGTAAATGGCTTACAATCATGTAAATTAATAATTAACTTTCGCATGTGGGCCATATGTTGTCCTTTCAAATGACCAAACATTCAATCGGCGATAATGGAAGCATAACATCCAACGTTGAGAACAGCAATATTCGTTCATATGTAAGTAAATAAATGCACCTGTTTGAAACTCCCATAATTATGTAAGGATTATTGCGTGGTGTTGATGAATGATATAAAAGAGCATAAATAAACAAACGTAATGGATTCATATAAGGTACTTCAAATTTATGGTTGAGTAAATTAGAGTGTTTCGAAAACGAATTGTGGATGGCGAAGTTTTATTTTCATTTGTATACAATATTGACGAACATTTGCTACGGGAAGCTCTTCCGAGTAAGCAGATTATTATTATCATGACTCTTGTTCTTTTCTTATTGAGTTGTATACAAGGTGATATGAAAAAACTGCAACCAAATTCAGACTGATGTCATTTCAAAGCCACTCGTCCGACAGCTGCAATACAATAGCATTTTGGTGAGAATTTTTCCAGAACAAAAGTTATTCGTGATGGAATTCAAGGGTGATAGTGTGATTACTTTATATTTGACTGGAAAACAACAAGTGGCTATGGTTAGAGCACTCCAGCATTTAAATGTGAATAAATCTTTTGGGTCTCGTACCATCGCTTGTTACCGAGATACTGGTAGCGTAGCCCGACGTCAAGGAAGTGGACGGAAGAAAACAGAAACATCAGCAGATGTTTCGATCAGCGACTTGATCGAAACCCCCGTCGCAGTGGCCGAAAATGGCTCGTGAGCTAAACATATCGCAATATTCCATTCGGCAAATATTGAAAAATGAGCTCGGGGTAAAGCCATTGCTATTCCAAAAAGTGCAAGAACTTACACCGCAACAGAAAGAAAATAAATACAAAAGAGCTAAAGAGTTGCTTCGCTTGGTTTTCTCCGATGAGAAAACATTCGTTGTACAGCAATTCGTAAACAAAGAAAATGATCGTGTTTACTTGCCAAAGAGGCCAGCTGAAAATGTGCACATTCGGTTGGCCATCAGAACTCAAGGGACGGCCATAGTACTGGTGTGGGCCGCCATAACAGCCAATGGTCGCTCTGCTCTCGTATTAATCGACCGTGGCATCAGAATTAATTGGACATTCCAACAGGACTCAGCAGCATCGCACTCAGCACGCGCCACCCAAATATGTGCAATCGCTTCTTTTCTTCGCACAATGGCCACCAAAATCTCCGGATACCAATCCGTTGGACTATTTGTCTGCAGTATTTTGAAAAGCAAGCTTGGAACTAAAAAATACCAGTGTCGATCACCTCAAGAAGGCACTTTGCCGGGAATGTTCCAACATACAGCAGAACAACATTCGGTATTTTGGACCATTGGGCGTTTGAAGACCATAATTCGTGACCAATTCAAGTAAATCTAAACATATTCTAAAATTTGATGCTATTTCCGACATTTTTAGCTTTCATTCAATAAAATTTAAAAACAAAAAATTATGGCGTTTGACTTTTTTCCATTTTTTTTATCTCACACGGTACATACAGTGTTGCGCTACCAGAGCTAGAGCCCATAATGACCCACAAATTCTAATTTTTCGACAAATCCGTGAAAAATGTGGCAAAAATCATCAAAATACCGAATATCGAGAGGTGCCGTTATATGACGGCTATATCAAAACCTGGACCCATATATTTCATTTTCAATACCAATCATCCCATATACAATGTCATATTTTGAAGCTCTACATCAAATAATGTGGCTGTATCGTGATTTCAACAGACAGACGGAGAGACAGACGGACATCGTTAAATCGACTTAGAATTTTATGCTGATTATGAATATATATACATTACTTGCGGGACACGGTGCGCTTCGCTACCCCTTTTGATTTTATATGGATTCAAAATTTTGTATACAAATATTTGTTGGTGAAAAAAAAAACAAATCCAAACATTTTAAAAACGTTGTTATTGTAGTACTGTGATGAGTAAACAAACCAATAGTTCGGATTACCAACGCGTGAACATGCCAGAAACAGCTGACAACGAGAAAAGCAGGAATATGCCATGTTTAGTCCACATACACAAAGGGTTTGTCCTTCAAAGCAAATTCTAATCAAATCCCGTCATTTATTCCCAATTCGGAGAATGTATCAGAATAGATATGTGCATATAAAATCCACATTTTTATCATAATCATAATAATAATAATAATAATAATAATAATAATAATAATAATAATAATAATAATAATAATAATAATAATAATAATAATAATAATAATAATAATAATAATAATAATAATAATAATAATAATAATAATAATAATAATAATAATAATAATAATAATAATAATAAATAATAATAATAATAATAATAATAATAATAATAATAATAATAATAATAATAATAATAATAATAATAATAATAATAATAATAATAATAATAATAATAATAATAATAATAATAATAATAATAATAATAATAATAATAATAATAACAATAACAATAATAATAATAATAATAATAATAATAACAATAATAATAATAATAATAATAATAATAATAATAATAATAATAATAATAATAATAATAATAATAATAATAATAATAATAATAATAACAAAAATAATAATAATAATAATAATAATAATAATAATAATAATAATAATAATAAGAAAAAGAATAATAATAATAATAATAATAATAATAATAATAATAATATAGTTATAATAATATAATAATAATAAAATGAACGAAAGCATAACAAGTGGAGAAAGATGTAAATGTTTATAAGTGCGGTTGTAAGATTTAGAAGATTTTCCAAAAGAATTTTAGTTTTATGTAATTCTTTTGTTCCTCTTCTATTGAGCTTACGATCTCGTCACTTGGGTAAAAAATGTTTTTTGTCATAGAAGTTATTTTTTAAATAACTTCTGGGGAGAATATCCCAGACAAGAAACAAGGGAACTGATGAGGATTGGTGGCTCTTTCCGAAACCTAGGTATTCCCTGCCTTACCCCCTGGTAAACATTACCATCGTTCTCCACTCATAAACAAACGTTGTTTTTATAAAAACAACAATAATGGGATTTTGCCTGTCGATTTTGCAACAACAAAATACTATGGTATCCCAAACAAGCAAGCCAAACACTGTTCTATTATTTTACCCCCTTACATTCTACCATCGTTTTTTTTTCTGTGTTGCGGCTTTAATTAACAACTTGATTAAATACATATATTCGTTTCTGGTTTATGCATGTTTTTTTAAATACCTTTTTGTTTGACTTTTTTAGTCAGCCATAAAAGTTAATTAATTTTTTCTCTCTGCTATTTGAATTTATTACATCTAAACATGCAATTAAGTTGTTTTGCTTCCCTAATTAGCTGTGCAATAATCACATAGATTATTATTGAATTCATAATATCCTAATTGCTATAAGGTGTGATGATAATGATAGTTATTACTATTATTAATATATCTAAACCATAAAAAGAAGTATATAAATATCTACATATTGTAATGAGTGTGAGAACAAAATTAATATGCTTACTTATAAATATAATTCTATCACGAATTTTTGAGTATAATAAACATATTAAAAATAAATCATAAAAGGTATGTTGTTATTTCTTAGTCTTTATCAGTCTATAAAGTAAACAGCCAAAATTTATATATTCTGAAGAACTGTTTCGTATATATATATATATAGCTCAATGATAATATGCGCAAATGACATGTGCCTTACTCAATAACTTTTTTTTTCAAGTTTTTGTGGAAAACGAATACTTATGTTTAGTGAATTGCGCATCTTTGTAAAGATTAGTGTCCGCCTTTTATACCCTCAGCCATATGACTATAGAGGATATATATCATTTGATGCGGCCAAAACGTGCCTCATCGAAATAACGGTTTTAGACCCTAGGTTATTTGAAGTCGATCTAGGGGTGTCCGTCCGTCCATCGGCTGGTGCGCACGATTAATCTCAAAGGGAGTATCCGACTTGGTCAAAATTTGGTACACCGTAATATTATTGTCAAACTTAGATCTTAGAAGGGTAACATAGGTCTACGCCTTCTGGTGCCTATCCCACAAAATAATTTTAGATTTGTTCGAATAGGTCAACTTTACCATGAATTATGGTCTTCAAATGGCCAATGAAACCGTCACACGATGCTCAAATGTTGCTCTGCGGTATTTTAAACCATTCCCGGCGCTTGCTTAAGGTGATCGAAACTTTGGTATTTTTTAGTGACAGCCTTGCTTTCCAAAATACTTCAGTTACAATAGTCTAACGTATTGGTATCCGGAGATTTTGATGGCCATTGTGCGCTGGAAATGAAGCGATTAACCTCATTTTGTAACCATTCTTGGGTGGTGGTCGATTAATACGAGCGGAGAGCGACCATCGCTTGTTATGGCGGCCCACAACATCACCATGGCCGGCGCTTGAGTTCTGTTGGCCAACCGAAGGTGCACATTTTCAGCTGACCTCTTTGCCAAGTAAACACGATGTTGTTTTCTCATCGGAGAATACCAAATTCGGCAGTTCACCACTTTTGGCCAAGCGAAGCAACTTTTTAGCTTTTTGAGTCTATTTTCTTTCGTTTGCGGTGTAAGTTCCTTCACTTTTTGGAATTTCCATGGCTTCACCCCGAGCTCATTTTTCAATATTTGCCGAATGGAATATTGCGATATATGTTCAGCTCACGAGGGACGCGGATTTCGATCAAGTCGCTTCTTTACTTTTCGAACCATTTCTTCTGATGTTGCTGTTTTCTTCCGTCCACTTCCTTGACGTCGGGCTACGCTACCTGTATCACGGTAACGAGCGATGGTAC